TGGAGAGCTCTTTGGTCTTGGCCATGGTGGAGAGTTTGGAATCTGATTGATTGATTGCTTCTGTGGACAGGTGTCTTTTATACAGGTAACAAACTGAGATTAGGAGCACTCCCTTTAAGAGTGTGCTCCTAATCTCAGCTCGTTACCTGTATAAAAGACACCTGTGAGCCATAAATCTTTCTGATTGAGAGGGGTCAAATACTTATTTCCCTAATTAAAATGCAAATCAATTTATAACATTTTTGACATGCGTTTTTCTGGATTAATTTTTTGTTATTCTGTCTCTCACTGTTCAAATAAACCTACCATTAAAATTATAGACTGATCATTTCTTTGTCAGTGGGCAAATTCAGCAGGGGATCAAATACTTTTTCCCCTCACTGTATGTAGATATTCTAGCTACAATAGCCATTTACAACATTAACAATGTCTACACTGTATTTCCGATCAATTTGATGTTATTTTTTTAATGGAGCAAAAAATTGCTTTTCTTTCGAAAACAAGGACATTTCTAAGTGACCACAAACTTTTGAACGGTAGTGTATATTGCGGAATCAAAAATATTAGTTAAAGAATTGAATTAAGCCAGTGGCTCAGATGAAACTGTCCAAGCAGTAGATACATCTCCTTTAAATGTTGATATTTGGTTGCGTTGTCAACCAAACACAATTCAATATTACTTTTGTATTACAGTAAATAGCATAAAGTTAAGGCTATCTTACAAACTAATGTAACGTTCAACCTTAAAATGCGTAACACATCCATGTGTAAGGGATCGGGGGTTGGCTGGGTCTAGACAGAGTCTGACACTTCCCCGATCTACAGAGAGGGGGAGTCATCAGACTCGATCTGGTTCACCTGAGTTCTGAGCACACCTGTCCATAATTAGGGTAGGATATAAGGTGTGCTCAGAGGTTCAGTCGGTGCGAGGTATTGTTCCTTTGTGACTTGCTAAGCGTTTTGTTCCGAGAGAGAGAGAGAGTTTGTTGTTTTTGATTACCCGTGTATCCGACCTGTGCCTTGTTGTTTGACTTCCCGAATTGCTTAATCCTCTACTTGTCTACCCCAGTGATTACCGTTCTCTGATCCTGTGCCTGTGACCTCGACTACGACTAAGCCCGCTCCTTTGGTACCTCTGCCTGTCTATGCCTGGCCCGGTTTTGACCACAGCCTGCCCGACCACGATTAAGCTATTCCCTTGTCTGTACTCTAATAAAGCATCGCTATTCTGCGATTGGATCTTACCACTCTGTCCGAGTATTCATTACACCATGGCCACATTTTGAAGTTACTATAACTATACATTTCTTCTTATGTAATCAAATAAAGTGTGCATGTTCAAGAGTGCATACATAGGTCATCGCAGGTCTGTAGAGATCATCACAATTACTGTAATAATCTGCGCAGAATCTCGAACTTGCACCATGTACATTTAATGTAATCTCAACTGTATCACATTTGCTGTATAAATAAACAAAATATCTGACATTGTATTCTCATTTGAACTTTGCTGTGCTTTTAAAATGGTTGAAAGCGCAGTGATAGACATTTGGGTGACAACTAAACAAAAAATGAGACATTGTTTTTCCATTGGAATTTGGTTGTGCTTTTAGATGGTTGAACATTGGAAATTCAACTAACTTTTTGATATCTTTTTGAGTGGATGAATATAGGTTGTTGTAATCTCATTGATCAACGTCTCAACCAAATATTACCCAATTATCTACGTTGAAATGTGCCGAGTGAGCAGCTTCAGCTCTCATGCTTTGTGAGTGCGTGCTCCAGACACTGGGCAGAGAGATGGGAAACAGCCCTGGCCTGCCCCTGTGACAGAGCCATCAACACTTCAGTGCAATCCCCCCAGGAGGAAATTAGAGAGTGCTACTCCCTACCAGAACTATTAACTCCTATATTTATCCATGCAGTAAGCACTTGTTAAATGGAACAATATGGATTTATGAGAACTTCTATTGCAACAGCTTAATAAAACAGTGAGACAGCGCATTAACTTCCCCAATAATAACTAAATATATGTGTTTTTGGCACTCTGCCACTTCAAAACATTTCTCGAAATGCTAGACAAACTGTAGTTACACATTTATCTGGAAAAACATTTGGTGTTGGACATCCTTATATTTCTTAACTGTTTGTTGTCTTGTTCTTTTTTTCCTATTAGATTTTTCTCCATCACACAGACTTTTCAATGTACCCACAGGCGATGAGCAGAGCCAATCCTCCCGCCTGTTCCAGCAAACACTTTGCCTGTATGAAAATCATGAATTATTTAGTTGCCTTGTTGGCTAATCCTTCATGGTCTGGGTTGGTGTGTATTCAGAGAGAATGAAACAAAAGTTGAGAAAAAGCAAAGACAAAATCTCAAAGCGCTTCTCAACTAGATAAGAGTGATTCAAAGGTCAAGAAGAAGAGAAACAGTGCTGGAGCGTGGTTCAGTTGTAGTACTGAAACCTCCCAAGCACATATTACCCATAGTGGCATGGGTACGAATCCCACCCCACAGGTGCATGCTGTTTCCTCTCTATACTCTGTACTCCATCTAACTTCTCTGTCTAAATAAAAGTGATCAAATTTGCAAGGAGGACGGTGCTCCTGTTCTTCTTTAAAAAATAATAATAAGAGAAACTGAGATCAGCAAGAAAACAATAATAGCAAGATCTCTGTCTTACCAGGTGAGTAGGGCGCAGTTGAAGTGACCATAGGAACTGTGGACAAGCAAAACAACACTTAAAATATAAGAAGTTCTCATCATCAAATATATTTCCACATAATATGCCCATATACAGTGAGGGAAAAAAGTATTTGATCCCCTGCTGATTTTGTACGTTTGCCCACTGACAAAGAAATGATCAGTCTATAATTTTAATGGTAGGTTTATTTGAACAGTGAGAGACAGAATAACAAACAAAAAAATCCAGAAAAACGCATGTCAAAAATTTTATAAATTAATTTGCATTTTAATGAGGGAAATAAGTATTTGACCCCCTCTCAATCAGAAAGATTTCTGGCTCCCAGGTGTCTTTTATACAGGTAACGAGCTGAGATTAGGAGCACACTCTTAAAGGGAGTGCTCCTAATCTCAGCTCGTTACCTGTATAAAAGACACCTGTTCACAGAAGCAATCAATCAATCAGATTCCAAACTCTCCACCATGGCCAAGACCAAAGAGCTCTCCAAGGATGTCAGGGACAAGATTGTAGACCTACACAAGGCTGGAATGGGCTACAAGACCATCGCGAAGCAGCTTGGTGAGAAGGTGACAACAGTTGGTGCGATTATTCGCAAATGGAACACAAAAGAACTGTCAATCTCCCTCGGCCTGGGGCTCCATGCAAGATCTCACCTCGTGGAGTTGCAATGATCATGAGAACGGTGAGGAATCAGCCCAGAACTACACGGGAGGATCTTGTCAATGATACCAAGGCAGCTGGGACCATAGTCACCAAGAAAACAATAGGTAACACACTACGCCGTGAAGGACTGAAATCCTGCAGCGCCCGCAAGGTCCCCCTGCTCAAGAAAGCACATATACAGGGCCGTCTGAAGTTTGCCAATGAACATCTGAATGATTCAGAGGAGAACTGGGTGAAAGTGTTGTGGTCAGATGAGACGAAAATCGAGCTCTTTGGCATCAACTCAACTCGCCGTGTTAGGAGGAGGAGGAATGCTGCCTATGACCCCAAGAACACCATCCCCACCGTCAAACATGGAGGTGGAAACATTATGCTTTGGGGGTGTTTTTCTGCTAAGGGGACAGGACAACTTCACCGCATCAAAGGGACGATGGACAGGGCCATGTACCGTCAAATCTTGGGCATTGAAATCAGCCAGGGCATTGAAAATGGGTCGTGGATGGGTATTCCAGCATGACAATGACCCAAAACACACGGCCAAGGCAACAAAGGAGTGGCTCAAGAAGAAGCACATTAAAGTCCTGGAGTGGCCTAGCCAGTCTCCAGACCTTAATCCCATAGAAAATCTGTGGAGGGAGCTGAAGGTTCGAGTTGCCAAACGTCAGCCTCGAAACCTTAATGACTTGGAGAAGATCTGCAAAGAGGAGTGGAACAAAATCCCTCCTGAGATGTGTGCAAACCTGGTGGCCAACTACAAGAAACGGCTGACCTCTGTGATTGCCAACAAGGGTTTTGCCACCAAGTACTAAGTCATGTTTTGCAGAGGGGGTCAAATACTTATTTCCCTCATTAAAATGCAAATCAATTTATATCATTTTTGACATGCGTTTTTCTGGATTTTGTTGTTGTTATTCTGTCTCTCACTGTTCAAATAAACCTACCATTAAAATTATAGACTGATCATGTCTTTGTCAGTGGGCAAACGTACAAAATCAGCAGGGGATCAAATACTTTTTTCCCTCACTGTACAGTATTCCATACATTCTAAATACAAAACATTAACAACACCTGCTCTTTCTATGACAGACTGACCAGGTGAAACCAGGTGAAAGCTATTATCACTTATTGATGTCACTTGTTAAATCCACTTCAATCAGTGTAGATGAAGGGGAGGAGACAGGCTAAAGAAGGATTTTTAAGCCTTGAGACAATTGAGACATGGATTGTGTATATGTGCCATTCAGAGAGTGAATGGGAAAGACAAAAGCTTTAAGCGCCTTTGAACGGGGTATGGTACTAGGTGCCAGGCGCACCGGTTTGAGTGTGTCAAGAACTGCAACCCTGCTGGATTTTTCACACTCAACAGTTTCCTGTGTATATCAAGAATCGTCCACCACCCAAAGGACATCCAGACAACTTGACAACTTTGGGAAGCATTGGAGTCAACATGGGCCAGCATCCCTGTGGAACACTTTCGACACCTTGTAGAGTCCATGCACCGACGAATTGAAGCTGTTCTGAGGGCAAAAGAGGGTGTAACTCAATATTAGGAAGGTGTTCCTAATGTGTATATGCCTATATAGTGTACAGTATATGGCAGGGTGGCTTACTGGCGCTGATGCTGAAAGACTTTGCCTCTGTGCCCATCTCGTTGGTGGCGTTGCAGAAGGCTGTGATGTCAGAGGTCACTTTGACGGACACCAGGCTGATAGTGCTGTGCTCCGTGGCGCTGGTCAGCACCTCGCGCCAGCTCTGTCAACACACAAGCACACACACCAATGTCATGTCACCAGTCACACCAATGTGCATTGCAAAAGACATAACCAAGAAAATGAGATTTGAATAAATCTAAATTCATGCAATGTAAATATGCCCAGATACACTATATATACAAAAGTATGTGGACACCCCTTCAAATTAGTGGATTCGGCTATTTCAGCCACACCCGTTGCTGACAGGTGTATACAATCGAGCACACTGCCATGCAATCTCCATAGACAAACATTGGCAGTAGAATGGCCTTACTGAAGAGCTCAGTGACCTTCAACGTGGCACCGTCATAGGATGCCACCTTTCCAACAAGTAAATTCGTCAAATTTCTGTCCTGCTAGAGCTGCCCCGGTCAACTGTAAGTGCCGTTATTGTAAAGTGGAAACATCTAGGAACAATGCCTCAGCCCCGAAGTGGTAGGCCACACAAGCTCACAGAACTGGACCGCCGAATGATGAAGTGCGTCTGTCCTCGGTTGCAACACTCACTACCGAGTTCCAAACTGCCTCTGGAAGCAACGTCAGCACAAGAACTGTTCGTCGGGAGCTTCATGAGATCACCATTCGCAATGCCAAGCGTCTGCTGGAGTGGTGTAAAGCTCGCCGCCATTGGACTCTGGAGCAGTGGAAACGCGTTCTCTGGAGTGATGAATCACGCTTCACCATCTGGCAGTCCAACAGACGAATCTGGGTTTGGCGGATGCCAGGAGAACGCTACCTGCCTGACTACATAGTGCCAACTGTAAAGTTTGGTGGATGAGGAATAATGGTCTGGGGCTGTTTTTCATGGTTCGGGCTAGGTCCCTTAGTTCCAGTGAAGGGAAATCTTAACGCTACAGCATACAATGACATTCTAGACAATTCTGTGCTTCCAACTTTATGGCAACAGTTTGGGGAAGGCCCTTTCCTGTTTCAGCATGACAATGCCCCCGTGCACAAAGCGAGGTCCATACAGAAATGGTTTGTCGAGATCGATGTGGAAAAACTTGACTGGCCTGCACAGAGCCCTGTCCTCAACACCATCGTACACCTTTGGGATGAATTGGAACGCGGACTGTGAGCCAGGCCTAATCGCCCAACATCCGTGCCCGACCTCACTAACGCTCTTGTGGCTGAATGGAAGCAAGTCCCAGCAGCAATGTTCCAACATCTAGTGGAAAGCCTTCCCAGAAGAGTGGAGGCTGTTATAGCAGCAAAGGGGGGGACCAACTCCATATTAATGCCCATGATTTTGGAATGAGATGTTCACATACTTTTGCAGTGTATGTAAACTGCCCAGTGCGCTGCCAAGCTCTGTTTTACCTGGCTGCCAGTGACAGTCCAAGAGATGGTGGGCAGGGGGTGTGCATGTGCCTCACAGCTCAGGTTCACCCACTTCCCAGCTCCCTCCTCCATCTCCACCTCCCTGTCAGCATCCTTCATCTGGGGAGCACCTGGGAGACAGGTTACAAACACATACATACATTATACTCTGCTAAAGACCGCTTGTGAGGTATGAAAACATCTGATCTGACAAACTCAGTGTTTCTCAATCTATTCCTGGTGGCAACGCTGCAGCCCGAACTTGGTGTTCAACCTTCCCAAGTTCTCTCATGTCAGTCCGCTCCTCCGCACACTCCACTGGCTTCCTTGCCTACGGAGCTGTGAGGGGAACGGCACCTCCTTACCTTCAGGCTCTGATCAGACCCTACACCCAAACGAGGGCACTACGTTCATCCACCTCTGGCCTGCTAGCTCTCCTACCTCTACGGAAGCACAGTTCCCGCTCAGCCCAGTCAAAGCTATTCGCTGCTCTGGCACCCCAATGGTGGAACAAGCTCCCCCACGACGCCAGGACAGCAGAGTCACTGACCACCTTCCGGAGACACTTGAAACCCTACCTCTTTAAGGAATACCTGGAATAGTATAAAGTAATCCTTCTTCCCCCACCCCCCATAATTTTTTTTTTTTAAAGGTGGTTGTCCCACTGGCTATCGTAAGTTGAATGCACCAATTTGTAAATCGCTCTGGATAAGAGCGTCTGCTAAATGATGTAAATGTAAATGGATGCACATTTTTGTTTTATCCCTGTACTAGCACACCTGATTCAACTATTCGCCAAGGAGTGATAGTGTTGGGCTATAGCAAAAATGTGTACCCCCTGATGGGAATTCCTCTGAAATTATGGTTTGGTGACTCACCCTGGACGATGATGTGGACAGAACCAGAGGTGTGCAGTCCAGGCAGAGAAGGAACAGTCACCTCACACACGTATTCTCCTGCTGTGTCATAGGTGGCATCCTGCAGAAACAGCATGTGGCCTGTGCCAACCTGCTGCCCATTCTACACACAGAAAAAAACCTGACTAAGTCCACATAACTGAATAACAATGCATGATTAGCTACATATGGCAAGCGACATGGTTATGTCAGTCTTATTACTGTATTGCATTTAAAGCATTAAGTTGGTGCTTATTCCAGGGTGTATTGTACCTTGAACCAGACAGTGACGGTTTCCAGAGAAGACAGAGCGTTGCAGGTAGCAGTCAGACTCTCTCCTTTGAACATGATCTCTGAGTCTTTGGGAACCACCAGGGCTGGGTCCAGATCTGGAGAGAGAGACATGATGTGAGGAAGAGACATGGCTAAGTGACATGCTGGTGTGTGGTCCATGCAACCTTATTCCAATCAAATGCTTTCTTGATTTGAGTTACACCACTGCAAATCATAATATTTATCGACTGTGAAAATGTTGACATCAATTAAATGATTGTAGCCCTTTCCTGCAGTCACATTACCTCGTGGACTCATGGGTGGAATGTTATTCATATTTTTCATTATTTCATAATTAATTTTAAAAAAAAATGTAAACGACGAAAATCTATGTCAAACAGTTTTGTTATATTTCAGTATTCTGTGATGTATATAAAGTGTAATAATGGGATGCAAACTCTTCAATTAAATACATTTCATACATATATCTGACATGGTACAGGTGTCTTCTTTTTTGTAAGCCCATAACCATGTGTGTGAGGTGTATACTTTTGTTTCAAAGTAGATTTGTTTAAGACTACCAAGAAACACTCTGTGTGACTGTCACGACTTCCTCTGAAGCTGCCTCCTCTCCTTGTTCGGGCAGGCTTCGGCGTTCGTCATCAGCGGCCTAGCCACTGCCGCTCATCATCTCATCATTCCATTTGTTTTGTCTTGGTTATTACACACACTTGATTCATATCCCGTCATCAGTACATGTATAAGTATTCCCTCTGCCCCCCTTGTCTTTGTGTGTGATTGTTTATTGTGGAGGTTATTATAGCTTGGTGGAGCTATTGTATTTTGTATTGCCGGGATATTCACCCGTGTGCCTTGTTGTCTCCAGTGCGCCGTATTTACCGCACTGGAGTGTTTTACGCATTGTTGCGTACCGCTGTCTTACCGAATAAACCATTTATTCTGTGATTTACCCTCCTGCGCCCTGCGCCTGACTCCGTCCAAATCACCCGCCACAGAATCACACACCCAAACAGCATGGAGTCAGCAGGAAACGGGAATATGCCTGGAGTCGTGGAGCGGGTCCGGGAGCATTCCAACATGCTAGCCAGCTTGGGCGAAGCGATGGATCAGGTTCTACAGGTTGTCCAACGGCTGGAGAAGAGAGGACCCGACCCTTCGGGACCAGCTGAGCGACCGGATCCAGCCACCCACACCCCAGCACCCAGAGGGATTAACCTATCTTGACCGGGGGAGTACGACGGGACAGCGGCCCGCTGTCAGGGATTCCTCCTGCAGCTGGATCTCTATTTTTCCACCATCAGCCCGGCTCCCTCGGAGCGGGAGAAGGTGTCCGCCCTCGTCTCCTGCCTCTCGGGGAAAGCCCTGGAGTGGGCCAACGCGGACGGGAGTGAAGGAGGAGACGAACGTAACTGAGAAAAGAGTGGATTGTTTGAAAGAAGTTCCTTTTTGTCGGCGAACAAATGAAGATAAATTGGCAACGAAACAATTAGGACCTCCCAGACCAAATTTAATAATTCAACAGGTTTCTACTAAAGGCGGAAAGTCCTACACCCGAGGATTTTCCAAAAATTGGTACGAACGAAAAAAGACATTGCCACTCACTCAACTGGATGACGAGGGATACAGGCTAGCTGTCCGCCGCCACAACGATGAGGTTAGTGTTGATAATCACAAGTTTACTGGAGAACCAACTGAGACCAAGTAGAGACTTTGGACAGGGTGGATATGGTGTAATAAAGGCAGTTTATTCAGAGGTAAATATATCTGGAATCGCGTTCACGGACCCGTTCGTCAAACTCTTAGGGAGCTATAAATTAAGCCCCATTACTTACCATATCAGATAAGAGAAATTGCTGCAGCTACATATATTTTACATCCTGGCCCTACATAGTTCACTATTTGCATCACTTACCAAAATATTACATGTGGTCATATATGCTTGGAAAGTGGAGATGCCATAGAACGTCAAAAAAGTAAACATTGCTGGAGACACATTGCCGTTTTGGAGAAGACATCGCGTTTGCTAGCGAAGAGATTTGTTGTGGCAAATGAACTTGGGCTGGGAATTGCCAGGAACCTCACGATAAGATATATGCATCAGCATTGCGAGTCTCATGATTCTATACGTATTGCGATTCGATACTGTGATTTTATTGCGCACCATATGTCTGTTGCAGAGGGATCAGAAAGCCATGAGAACGAGTTTTGATCAGTCATGGAAATAAAAGTGCTGAAAACAAATTGGCTCCCAATGTGAAAAGATTGAGAACAAGCTATGAAGGAACAATAATGGTGTTTTGGTGCAGGTACAGCCAACTAGCGCTAAAATATTGCGATATTGTCAATACAGTATATCGTAAAGTATCACTATGTAACTCGATTTCTTTCACCCCAATCCCTCAAATTAACGGTAAATAACTGAATTGTTTGCCCCACATTTAGCTAAGATGATTAGCTAGCCAGCTAAAATGTTTTATTTAGTTAGCAGTCGCATCTACAATAGTTTACTGTCAATAACATGTCTCCAAAAATGACGTGGTGTCTCCAATTGTGTTGACATTTTACAATTGCAATGCGCATCCATGAGTATCCACTTTCTGTAGCTCAGCTGGTAGAGCATGGTGCTTGTAACGCCAAGGTAGTGGGTTCGATCCCCGGGACCACCCATACACAAAAATGTATGCACGCATGACTGTAAGTCGCTTTGGATAAAAGCGTCTGCTAAATGGCATATTATTATTATTATTATTATCTGAAGAGAGCCCCGAAACATTGTGTGCAGACATTTTATGCAATAAATGAAGTAGGTTCAATCTAGTAGTTCTGATCTTCTGATTGGTCCTGATGAGTTGGGCGAGGTCACCTCCAGGCTACTGTCACTGTTGCATTGGCTCTGAGTCGGGTTCTCTGTCTTCAAATGTTCAGCCTAAGAGAGGGGATTTTTGTGTGTGTGTGTGTGTGTGTGTTTAACAGTGATGATGTGTGTGTGTGTGTGTGTGTTTAACAGTGATGATGTGTGTGTGTGTGTGTGTTTGTGTGTGTGTGTGTCCTCAGAGCAAGAACTCGTGAGTTGGAAGAACTGAGAGGCCTATGGCGTGGGTGTTGTCCTTGGCCACCTGCTGACAAGGCTGACAAGATAGGACCCTTTTGTCCATTGTTATTGGATAGGAACAGAACTTATAACCAGCTCCTGACCTAAATAGATCTTAGCACAACATTTTACTCAACATATCATATTCCATATTCACTATAACAAATATATTTACTACGACATTAGCAAGAACCGCCACATCCTCAGCCGGCTAATCCAGTGTGTGAAGTTTTGCGGAGTGTTTGAGTTAGCTTTGCGAGGCAAAGATGAAACTGAGGGCTCCACCAACCCTGGTAAGCCAACACTTTTGAGATTGGACACCCACTGGGCGTTCCCCGAGAGGCAGGAGACGAGGGCGGACACCTTCTCCCGCTCCGAAGGAGCCTCTTCTGGGCAGTCTTCGGTCATCCCCCCGAAGGAAGAGAGGCCAGCGAGCACCTGGTCCATCTGAGGCAGGGGACGAGGATCGCGGAAGACTTTGCCCTGGAGTTTAGAACTAGTGGCAGGGTCCGGGTGGAACGAGTGGGCCCTCATCGACCACTTCCGGTGCAGCCTGCTGGAGAACGTCCGAAGGGAGCTAGCCTGCCGGGATACCACGTTGACTATCAACCAGCTGGTGGATATGGCCATCCGGTTGGACAACCTGCTGGCTTCCAGAGGACGTCCTGGAAGCGGCATGCCCGTTTCACCCCCCTGCAACCCGGATTACGTGCCGATGGAGCTGGGTGGTGCTGCGATCTGGGAGAACGGAGGACAACAGATCCAGTGTCACTCTCCTGGCAAGAGAGGACGTTCTGCTGCAAGCTGTCGTCAGCGTTCTTCTGGGTCAGGAGGCGGCAGGCAGGGCACTCTTGCGTCACCCCAGGTAGCGCAAACCCACACTTGTTCAGAGCCCTCTGCTGCATACTTCACCATACACGTCAACTTCCCTGAGCACACGGTAGTTCCCCAGTGTAAGGCGCTGGTGGATTCAGGCACAGTTGGGAACTTTATAGACAGGTCTTTAGCTAATAGGTTATGTATCACATTGCTTCCCCTACCCATTCCATTGCCCATCAAAGCACTTGACAGTCAACCATTAGGGTCAGGTTTTGTTAGGGAGATTACAGCACCAGTCATGATGATTATGCAGGAGACCCATAGGGAGCAAATCACTTTTTATATTATTGAGTCCCCTGATTTCCCTGTTGTGTTGGGTCTTCCCTGGCTCGCACTACACGACACCACCTTTTCATGGCCGCAGAGGGTTTTCACGGGGTGGTCGCGAGAGTGTCAGGATAGGCCTTCTGCATTGTGGCGCCGGTAGTGTGGGCGGTGGACGCGGACATAGAGCGGGCGTTACGCACAGAGCCATCTCCACCTCAGTGCCCAGCTGGGCTGCGGTACGTGCCGTCTCTTGTCCATGATCGGCTAATCTATTGGGCACACACGTCCCCCTCCTCTGGTCACCCAGGTATCGGCCGTACAGTGCGCTGCCTGACCGGGAAGTACTGGTGGCCTACCTTGGCTAAGGACGTGAGGGTGTATATCTCCTCCTGCTCGGTGTGCGCCCAGAGTAAGGCACCTAGGCCCCTCGCAGCGGGTAAGTTACATCCCTTACCAGTTCTACAACGGCCATGGTCCCACTTGTCAATTGACTTTCTCACTGATCTTCCCCTCTCTCAGGGTACATTTTACATTTTAGTCATTTAGCAGACGCTCTTATCCAGAGCGACTTACAGTTAGTGAGTGCATACATTTTCATACTGGTCCCCCGTGGGAAACGAACACACAACCCTGGCGTTGCAAGCGCCATGCTCTACCAACTGAGCTACACCATCCTGGTCGTTGTGGACCGCTTTTCTAAAGCCTGCCGCCTCCTTGCTCTGCCCCGTCTCCCCACGGCCCTGCAAACAGCGGAAGCCCTGTTTACTCACGTCTTCCGGCACTACGGGGTGCCAGAGGACATAGTGTCTGACCGGGGTCCCCAGTTTACATCCAGGGTCTGGAAGACGTTCATGGAACGTCTGGGGGGTCTCGGTCAGCCTGACTTCTGGGTTTCACCCCGAGTCTAATGGGCAGGTGGAACGGGTAAATCAGGATGTGGATAGGTTCCTGCGGTCCTACTGCCAGGACCAGCCGGGGGAGTGGTCGGTGTTCTTGCCATGGGCCGAATATGCCCAGAACTTTCTCCGCCACTTCCCCACTAACCTAACTCCCTTTCAATGTGTCTTAGGGTATCAGCCGGTTCTGGCACCGTGGCATCAGAGCCAGACTGAAGCTCCTGCGGTGGACGACTGGTTTCGGCGCGCGGAGGAGACGTGGAACGCTGCCCACGTCCACCTCCAGCGCGTCGCCAGAAAGCCAACGCTGACCGCCACCGTGGTGAGGCACCTGTACCGGGTGATCGGGTCTGGCTCTCGACCCGGAATCTGCCCCTCCGCCTGCCCTGCCGGAAGCTGAGTCTGCGGTTTGTGGGGCCGTTCAAAGTCCTGAGGAGAATAAACAAGGTTACGTATAGGTTACTACTCCCTCCTGATTACCGTATTAACCCCTCATTCCATGTGTCTCTCCTCAGGCCGGTGGTGGCTGGTCCGCTCCAGGAGTCTGAGGTGCGGGAGGTCCCTCCGCCCCCTCTGTACATCCGAGGGGGCCCCGGCGTACTCTGTCCGTTCCATCCTGGATTTGAGGCGTCGGGTGGGGGGCCTTCAGTACCTCGTGGATTGGGAGGGGTACGGTCCGGAGGAGCGGTGCTGGGTCCCGGTGAGGGATGTCCTCGATCCCTCCCTGTTGCGGGATTTCCACCGTCGCCATCCGGCTGGCCCTGCTCCGTGTCCTCCTGGCCGTCCCCGAGGCCGGTGTCGGCGCGCTGCTAGAGCTGCACGTCAAGGGGGGGGGTACTGTCCTCTCCTTGTTCGGGCAGGCTTCGGCGTTTGTCGTCACCGGCCTTCTAGCCACTGCCGCTCATCATTCCATTTGTTTTGTCTTGGTTATTACACACACTTGATTCATATCCCGTCATCAGTACATGTATAAGTATTCCCTCTGCCCCCCTTGTCTTTGTGTGTGATTGTTTATTGTGGAGGTTATTATAGCTTGGTGGAGCTATTGTATTTTGTATTGCCGGGATATTCACCCGTGTGCCTTGTTTTCTCCAGTGTGCCGTATTTACCGCACTGGAGTGTTTTACGCATTGCTGCGTACCGCTGTCTTACCGAATAAACAATTTATTCTGTGAGTTATCCTCCTGCTCCTGACTCCGTCCAAATCACCCGCCACAGTGACCCATTTAGCCCACTGCAGTAAAAGGTTAATGAGTAGTTAAGTGATGCAGTGACAGTGAGTGAGTGGAAGACAACAGCAGAGCTGTCTATCTTGGTAATCAAACAGCCATGAGGAAAAAGTATTGATGGTGTGAAACTCAGTCAAGCAGCTGACGGATGTTAATACTCTTAGTATCAGAGCAATTCAACCACTTCCAGTCCAAACCAACAGAGCATAAATCCATGTGTATGCATGCGCATGTTTCAGTGTGTGTGTGTGTTAGCTAACTCACAGTGGACAATGAGCTGCATGTCTCCCATGACCTCCTCGTAAGTGTCCAGATCCAGAGAGCGGCACTGGTAGACCCCGCTGTCCCCACGCGTCACCTCCCTCAGCACCAATGTGTCATCGCTGGCCTCCAACACTGTCTCCTGCTCCTGAGAGGGGACAACATCAGGTTTACACTGTCATATTACTGGATCTACATTTAGGCTAATACACTGCTCCAAAAAATAAAGGGAACACTTAAACAACACATCCTAGATCTGAATGAATGAAATAATCTTATTAAATACTTTTTTCTTTACATAGTTGAATGTGCTGACAACAAAATCACACAAAAATGATCAATGGAAATCAAATGTATCAACCCATGGAGGTCTGGATTTGGAGTCACCCTCAAAATTAAAGTGGAAAACCACACTACAGGCTGATCCAACTTTGATGAAATGTCCTTAAAACAAGTCAAAATGAGGCTCAGTAGTGTGTGTGGCCTCCACGTGCCTGTATGACCTCCCTACAACGCCTGGGCATGCTCCTGATGAGGTGGCGGATGGTCTCCTGAGGGATCTCCTCCCAGACCTGGACTAAAGCATCCGCCAACTCCTGGACAGTCTGTGGTGCAATATGGCGTTGGTGGATGGAGCGAGACATGATGTCCCAGATGTGCTCAATTGGATTCAGGTCTGGGGAACGGGCGGGCCAGTCCATAGCATCAATGCCTTCCTCTTGCAGGAACTGCTGACACACTCCAGCCACATGAGGTCTAGCATTGTCTTGCATTAGGAGGAACCCAGGGCCAACCGCACCAGCATATGGTCTCACAAGGGGTCTGAGGATCTCATCTCGGTACCTAATGGCAGTCAGGCTACCTCTAGCGAGCACATGGAGGGCTGTGCGGCCCCCCAAAGAAATGCCACCCCACACCATGACTGACCCACCGCCAAACCGGTCATGCTGGAGGATGTTGCAGGCAGCACAATGTTCTCCACGGCGTCTCCAGACTGTCACGTCTGTCACATGTGCTCAGTGTGAACCTGCTTTCATCTGTGAAGAGCACAGGGCGCCAGTGGCGGATTTGCCAATCTTGGTGTTCTCTGGCAAATGCCAAACGCCCTGCACGGTGTTGGGCTGTAAGCACAACCCCCACCTGTGGACGTCGGGCCCTCATACCACCCTCATGGAGTCTGTTTCTGACCGTTTGAGCAGACACATGCACATTTGTGGCCTGCTGGAGGTCATTTTGCAGGGCTCTGGCAGTGCTCCTCCTGCTCCTCCTTGCACAAAGGTGGAGGTAGCAGTCCTGCTGCTGGGTTGTTGCCCTCCTATGGCCTCCTCCACATCTCCTGATGTACTGGCCTGTCTCCTGGTAGCGCCTCCATGCTCTGGACACTACGCTGACAGACACAGCAAACCTTCTTGCCACAGCTCGCATTGATGTGCCATCCTGGATGAGCTGCACTACCTGAGTCACTTGTGTGGGTTGTAGACTCCGTCTCATGCTACCACTAGAGGGAAAGCACCGCCAGCATTCAAAAGTGACCAAAACATCAGCCAGGAAGCATAGGAACTGAGGTGGTCTATGGTCACCACCTGCAGAACCATTCCTTTATTGGGGGTGTCTTGCTAATTGCCTATAATTTCCACCTGTTGTCTATTCCATTTGCACAACAGCATGTGAAATGTATTGTCAATCAGTGTTGCTTCCTAAGTGGACAGTTTGATTTCACAGAAGTGTGATTGACTTGGAGTTACATTGTGTTGTTTAAGTGTTCCCTTTATTTTTTTGAGCAGTATACATCTTTGGCAAACTTTGATTTTGGGATGAACTATCCCTTTAAGTCACACCCGAACAACAGCTGAACTAGTCTGGTTACTGTGAGCTACATAAACCCTTTAACATTTTTCTGTGACCCTCTAAATGACCAAACCATGCCTATATCCACATCCCACTCTTGAGACCCAACAGGGGAACCCCCAAATGTGTTGTTGTGGTGAAATGAACATAGGTATTGTGAGTGAGACATGGGAATGACAACTATCCCATCCTGAGGATTTTGATCTCCAGTCAGTCACAGACCTTGAAAGGGTCCAAAGATTTCTCCCAGAGCCACAGGGTCAGACATGATGCGGCCCTGTTCACAAGGCCTACACTTCTACTCCAAGGTCTGAGTCTGCATATCAAAAACATTCACAGAAAAGAGGGCCATTCTTACTTGTTCTCGGTTGAAAGTGAAGGGCGGCGGGGGGTTGCCATCGCCTTGGCAACGGATCTCCACAGTGTCCCCCTCTTTGACCAGGCCCTGTGGGGATTCCTTCCACAGATTGACGATGGTTGTGGGGTCTGCGGGACAAAACCCATAAATCAACAGGGCTATTCAATGCCTGGTAAAGTCACCAGGCTACTCCGCTTTACAAGCCAGTCATTTACTCAGCATTGACAACAGCAGCGTTTGTGTTTTGTCATTGCTGTCATGGTATGCAAAATTGGTTCAAACAAACACTAGATATATTGAGAAAACATTGTGGGCTAAAATTGAAAGAGCGCCAAAGATGGGTGGGTTTGGGTTAGATTAGTTGGCTTACTACTTTGACAGCCCAGAAGCTGTTGACTTGTTTCAGGTAGGCTGATTTCATTTCATAGGCTTTAACTTGGGTGTTGTAGAAAGAAACATCAGTGACCACCCTTCTAGTTTTATGGCAGGGACGGTCCTACATTTTTATGGAGAGCACCATTAGCACACCGAAGTAGCATTAGCTCTAGTTAGTATTACATTCAATTGAACTCAATAATGCAAAAAGTATTAGCATGCTGAGTCAGCATAAGTTGTCTGGTTAGCAATAGCATGTCTGGGGTATATGACATGGAGTTAGTTGGGTCCTTACAGTGCACAGTGATGTTGATGCCCTTGGACTCAGCCGTCCTCACGGCTCCTGGGACGTAGTAGCTGACCTCACAGGAGAACAGGGCGTCTTTGTCCTCCTTCGCAACTTTATACTGCAGCTCACTCTGGACCGTGTAGAAGCCACTGGATTCACGGGTCACCAGAATTACCACGTTGATCTCTGAGAGGGGTGTGAAAACACTGAATTAGGTACCCTCACAGGCTGGTAGATAGATGATATCCGGAAACACTTCTTCATGTAACGACAACATGTAGTATTTCAGTGACTGTTGTGAGTATCACCAAATGGAGTCAAAACAAGATAATTGCTTGACTAGTTTTTCTCAAATAGTCCATTGGTGAGAGTGGCAGTGAAGATGTTAAAAGTGCTTTAAGACTCTGTTCTTTTGTATTGATATTCCTGCTACTCACGGCCATGTGTGAGGGTCAGTGGGCTGCTGTCACGGTACCAGGTGATGTTGGGTCTGGGGAAGCCGTTCTTTGCCTCACATGATGCAATCTGTACACACAGAGAGAATAAGACTGCTTAAAGCGTTTTATAATGTTCAATGGTGCTTTCATGGACTGAGAGCTAAAGTGAGATGTACTCAAGTGGACTGCCTAGTGCCTACCCTTGATGGCAGCTCGTTGGTCACAGAGATTCCAGCATGGACACCTTCAATTACTGGGGCCTCTGGAGGATCTGGAATAAAATATAAGATGGCATTATCAATGCAAACAAGCACTCTATCAATAACCACTGAAACACATGGTAATGGCCAGAGTATGTGCTCCTACTGTATGTGCTGTAGCCAAATCCTCTATCATTGGGATAACAAGAAATGAACACAGAGAGAGGAGTTGTGGCTCCCGTATGGCTCAGTTGGTAGAGCATGGCGCTTGCAGGGTTGTGGGTTCAATTCCCAAAGGGGACACGTAGGAGAAGTACAAAATTGTATGCACTCACTACTGTACGTCTCTCTGGATAAGAGCTTCTGCTAAATTACTCAAATGTCAAATGGTCAGTAGAGAGAGGAGTTGGCTCAAGCACAAACAGATCTGGACCTCCCAGGCTAGGAAGAGATTGATGCAAAGTCCAATGTCTTACCGAACACCCTTAAGTGGGTCTTGCCTTCTCCGTTGCCTGCGGCCATGCCGTTGACCTGGCAGAAGAACTCCCTCTCGTCAGCCAGCTGGACATCCTGTATGGTAAGCAGCACGCCCTCCTTGTCCCCGACGTCGGACACCGTGATGCGGCCCGTGAAGTCTGTACCGTCGTCCACTATCTGCTGCGCATTGTCACCGTAGTAGATCCGCTCCCGGCTACTGCTACCGGGATTCCTCTGTAGGGAAGGAAATAATAATAATAATTTGGGCGGTGCTGATATTTGTCCTGTTATACACTTGTACAAGTGAAAGGGCCACCAGGCATAGGTTGAGTTCATTTCGTTCAATTTAGAAGATGAACTAGTTGAATGTGAAAAACACCTTGCACCGTACATTGAAACAAATTGGTGAGTGGGTGGCTGAGTGAGTCAGGAGGGGGTGCAGATAATGGTCCAGAAGTACTCACCACAAACCACTGGATCATGAACGCTCTGGGCTGCTCACTGAAGACGTACCGGCAGGGGATGCCTGCTGAGTCGCCCAGGTACACCTCCACACTCTCCTCCATAGTCATGTCTACCTTGGCCCAGGCTGCAAAGAACAAACACAACACCACAGTCAGTGTCTTGTCTCACCAAGGACCACAACTACATGCCTGGCAGGCAACAAAACTGGCTTTGAATATTCATGTTTTAGCATTTAGTTTAATGTTTTATCTAAAAAAAAGTGATTTCAAAATACTATCTATTATTCATTGCCGCTATTGTGCCAGTACTATAATGACACACAGGCACAGTGTGGGAGCCAGCATGTTTACTCTATTGCAAACTGATGGATCATCTATGGATCAGTGGGACCAGTGTTTTAACTGCTCTAACGGTGTGAGAACTAGACTCCGTGGCTGGCTAGCAGAGGGGAGAGATGTTACAATGTGTGGAATGTGTGAAGCAGGGCCCACCCTGGTCCCTCCAGGAGCACTGGGCAGTCTCCAGCACTTCAGCGTGTCAGCCGCCAGCACAGAGAAAAGGCTTGTTTTACACACAGATTGAAGAATTACTGCAATGTTCCCTGTTAACCCGCAACAGAGCCAACAAACTAGCCTAAAACTGTCCCCTCAGAATCGTCATGGGAACCACCAGACACAAGACAGCGCTTGTTTGACGTATAACAGTGTTATAAAGACAACTGTAGGATGTGGAATCTAGCACTATTCTTGGCAGATCTGGGAAGTTCTGTCTAGGGTCACACAGCTACCCAAAGAAAAGTTATATAGGTTGCTATTGCAGGGCTTTGTAATTTTAGGTAACAATCAAATACGTAATAGTAATTGAATTGTGTTATAATCATGCTTCACACTCATGTCTGGTTTGAAGGTCACTTTCCCAAAATTCGCTGGTAATGTTGCTCTCAAGCTTCTTCCCACTACATTGGAGCTGAGCCACACAGACACTCTGAAACAGGCTTACAGTACAGGTTGTTTTTGTTCACCACATTGTTCTTCTGTGCTCCAGTAGTAGCCTCCACCCAGATCTCTATCTATAGTAATACCCTGTCTGAGCCAGACAGAAGGAGACGTGCCACAAATGAAGCCTCCCATTCATGGTGGAGAGATATCCTTGGTGCAACAGCAATCCAACACACTGACTTGTCAGATATGACCCCCACTCTGTCCTCTCCCTCTCTACCCCTCACATCCCCCTCTTTCTGGCTCAAAGACATCCATCTAGCCTGATCCTAGTCCACTGGGGCCCCCATGCTCCCCCCTCTACTAATTATTCTCTCTCTCTCCATCTCAACCCCACTCTCTCTTTCTCCCCCTCTCCATCTCAACCCCCCCATCCCCCTCCCCACAACCCTCTCTCGCCTCCATCTTCACTTCAGCATGGAGAGAAGTATAGAGACTTGAGAGAGGCTTCCTGTTAATTGGTAACGTGGGAGATGAAGGCTGGTGCTGGTGGGGTGCCGTGAAGAGCAGACATTGGCAGGGGTTAGGGGGTGAAGTTGGTACAGAGAGTAGTCTGCTTCTCACCACATAATAGTAGGAATGCCAATGTCAAAGACTAGGGGGGACTAGGGGGGTCCTGGGTGAGCAAGAGGGAATGGAATTGGAATCAGCCTCATTCATTGTTTGTGTGGTGTGTGTGTGGGCAGGGGGTGTGTTGCGGGGCGTATGTGTCTGAGTATGTCTGTCTGTGTCTATGCCCACAAGCCACTGAATTTAGCAGATTAGCACTTTCTGGAAGTATTTTCAAACTTGGTTTGTATATTCAGATCTGTCCTTATAGATCACACACACACACACACACACACACACACAGACCCCTTATTAAACTCACAGTCACATCCCGCTGGTCCTATTGAGCTCTCCCACCACCATTGTCAGCCTGCTTGCCCGCCTGCTTTTCCCTGACTACCCCTCCTTTATCCCGTCCACAACGCAATGCAACCAGTCTGCTCTTTGTGGCTCTGCTTGGTGGGGCTTATTTGCACTGTGTCCATTCTCTGTCTCTCCTCTGGTCTCTCTATCTCTCTGTCCCTTGCTACGAACCGTGAGGCTCAAGGCTGTGTTCAGCCAGCCGTGGCCCTAAGACGCACATGCCATTGTTCTCTCCAGAATGTGTTTTTCCACCTCAAACTCAGAGGTTAGAGTGAGTTTGTCATGTACCACCATGGTTGTTTGCTGTTTATCTCCTGAACTGTGGTGGTTTAGCTCATGATGGAACAGGAGCGGAGAGGAGGGGGCGAAGTTGACGTAAAAGATTGTGTCTCTTGGGGCCTCGTACATTTTTGGCTAATCCGATTAGCATGGGGACAGAATATCTACTCATCTGGAGATTTGACTCCAAAGCCAACACGGGCTGCCTTATCTGTGTAGACTTACAGACACACCAGCAGAATACCTGACCTGTGGACATGGGCCATCACAACTTCCCAGCCAGAGTGTTGTCCCTGGTTAACACAGAGTCTGCTGGCTGATGCACACTCCGCCAGTCTGGAAACTGCCACTGGATATTTGGATGTGTTGACAGGGCCCGTAATGAGGCAATGAGGCCCAAAACTGCTAGGCTGTCACAGAGGCAAGGGGGGGGGGGGGGGGGGGGGGGGGGGGGGGGGGTGATGTGTGTGTGTGTGTGTGTGTGTGTGTGCGCGTATCGAGGAGAATTACAGTTTGCCCCGTTCTTAGGGAACATTGCCCATTGAGTCCAACCTGCATTGTTAACAGCCGCGGCCTCGCAGACAATAGCACTGAGGCAATGGGAAGTGCCGCCTGGATTGTTTGAGGGGGGTCTTGCATACAGTCGGTCATTATGCACCTAATAGCGCAGACAATAGCATCAGACGCTAATCACGGTAGTCGCAACATTAGCTTCTGTGCACCTCCCCTCTCTCGCTGACAAAGCAGATCAGCTTGGGTTGCAGGCCCAGCTGAGCTCCACTAAAGCTCCAGCTGTTCCTCGTCATCCTCCTTATCGATCGCAACAGACCCACCCTGCCTCTGCCAACCGCTGACAACAACACACACAATCAACCGTGACAAGAGAAATAAAAGCTATTTAAATGGGAGATATAGCATAATCCCTCCATGTCTACGCAGGCATGAAATAGTGCCATATGTATGTTGTGGCTGATAAACAGTGCCATATAATGTGGAATCTTGCTAATATGGGGAAACTAATGTATGTGGGGGTAGGCCTATAACGTTTATGTGCCTGGGGCCTCATGTTGGTTTTCCTTGGCCCTGACTCCCTCAGCCTGCTTCTGCTTAGAGGCCTTACCTGCACCAACTCCCAATATAGATCAGAGACACACTTTCCAAAGAGGAGCTGTTGTGCTGAGGCTTTCTGATTCCCAGACCGTTACTATGATGTATGTAGTTTTCTATTGATTCCTACTGACGTGTGATCCACTTAATTCCAACACATTGCTCTAACACTCACATCTTTAGAGTCACCAAAGCCTATCCAGGCAATGGTGATTCCTTCTGTGGTTCTTCAAACATCAGGTGTTCTATGTGGTGTGGTTTGAAAATGGCAGCCCTGGTAGTCCTAAACCACCTCAGGGAGTCAAAGGGGTCAGTCTGTGGGGTTGACGTGTAACCCGGGCTGACAGTTAGGCAGTGATGGCCCTCTCAGAACTATGAACAGCACCCCCTGGTTCCTCTGACACACCTGGGGGAGTCCACACAGCACCCACCTGAGATCAAAGAGAACCTGAGCTCTGCTCTGCTCTCTGTGTGCTGTGTGACGTACACACACATACACACTGAAAGGACATATCCCTAGACTGGAGAAATAAGACCCGCTTGACCTACTGATCTCCCCTGGCTTTGTGAACTACACTCCGGCACAAATCTCCCCAGGAGGTGCATTCATTCAGATGGCAGCAAAGAGAGGGTTAACGTCAACTCTTTCCCAGAGAAAAGACTGGAAGTGGTGGTCCACATCAAACATGTAAATCCCTCAAAGCGGCCAGGCCGCCGTGTGTGCACATGAACTTGACACACAGGAGCCCCCTGCACAGGCAGCCAAGCACATTCGCAGCCCCCATGCCAGAGCCAAAACGAGCACACACTCCAACACACCACAAACATACACTCTCAGTCACACACACCAAACATCCTCCTCAGTCACACCCCTTACAGAAAATCACGTTTTCACATGAAATCTTCACGTGATATCATGTGAAAACCTGTTTTTGGAACATTTCACGTGATCATGTTTTCACATGTGTAGTTTCATGTTATCACATGTTATCACATTAACGTCACATAAGATCACGTGATCACATGAAAATGTGTTTTTAGAACACTTCACGTGTTCATGTAAGGGACACCACAAACATAGACTCTCTTTCACACCTTCAATGTAAACATCAACCTCAACGTGTACATAAGCCCTTGTCATGAACCTGTGTGTCAGTAAAGGGGTTATGCAATGATGGTTGAACCTTTCGAATACCAAAACACAATGCCGTGCCAATGTGTTTTGCTACTTGTTATACATATTCACATGTGTTCCTGCCTCTAACAAATATCGCGGATCCCACTGTTTTTTAAGCAGCTGTAATTACTCCCGGTGGGTTAATACCGTCTTAAGCCTCGCCATAATTATTTTTGCATCTTGCCTGTGGCGAAGCCCTCCTCCTTGAAGGAGTAAAATAATGTTTTATTTACACTTCTAACTAACATGCTCCACTGTGAACGATGGGTGTTCCTGCATCCAGGCCTCATCAATATCAAACCCCCAGTGTTTCTGTGGTCCGACATGCATGTTGGTTAACTATCAGGGAGTGCTTATAATTAAAAGTCATGGATGTCCATAATATGGATGTTTGAGTAAAAAATTGTAAGGTTGTTTAAGTGTAAATTGGTTGACATCTTTGATAGGCCTACATCATTCATCTCTAAACCTTGAGTCTGAATGGACTTTCTTCTCCAGCTTAGTTTTCTTGGTCCTTTTGGCTTTTCTCAACATTTTGCAAAGCATAGAGTCTCTCCAGGGATCATAAATATAGCCACAGGTCATATGATCAAAAAAGGGGCTGAAAAATGTACGGTAGTCAAGAGTGCCATTCACATGCGTTTCCAGGTA